TTCGAATAAAAAGAAAATAAAACCTGAAGCTATTTCCCTCAGATTTTAAAGTTATATAAATCGTTCTTGACTAAGTGTATAAACAAAGAGCGTTAATAATTGTGCGGAGTTGAAATGATTGTCAATTAATAATTATTTGAACATGTGTATACGAGGTTCTTATTTTCTGATATCAAAAAATCGATTTTGTGATATCAGAAAATACTAATCATTTCTTAATATCACAAAATCATTTTCTGATATCAAACATTCGAATCCTTGATATCAAAAAATGATTTTCTGATATCAGAAATTCGATTTTTTGATATCAAAAAATCTTGTTTATTTTCTGATATCAAAAAATCTATTTTTTGATATCAGAAAATGTATTTCTTGATATCAAGAATTCTTCATTCTATTTTGATATCAGAAAATAATTTTCTGATATCAAAAAATCTATTTTTTGATATCAGAAAATGTATTTCTTGATATCAAGAATTCTTCATTCTATTTTGATATCAGAAAATAATTTTCTGATATCAAAAATTCGATTTTTTGATATCAGAAAATGATTTTTTGATATAAAAAAATCGAATATTTGATATCAGAAAATGAACAAGATTTTTTGATATCAAAAAATTGAATTTCTGATATCAGAAAATGATTTTTTGATATCAAGAATTCGAATTTTTTATTTCAGAAAATGATTTTCTGATATAAAAAAATCAAGAATTATTTTTTGATATCAAAAAATATTTTTTGATATCAAGAATTCGAATTATTGATATCAATAATTTCTTTTTTGATATCAGTAAATACCTCAAAAATATTAAAACGGCCCTCATAAAAATAGGGTTACAGACACTCTTGTAAAATATTCCCGACATCAAAGTCTTTTTTCTGAAATAAACAATTAACCAGCCGAAATTGAAAATTAGATATGTTTTCTAAGATCGCTTTTATAAGTAATTTTTGGATTATTTATAAGAAATTGATTTTGTTAAGATATTCGAGTTTATCAATATACTCTTTTTATGTTTGTCATATTGTGTCTTTGCGTTTACCATAACGAGCCTCCATACCCGTAACCATGCAGACAGAAATAGCCTTTTTCTTGTTTAATTCCATAAACCCTCTCCAGTCCGAGTTGACAATTGTAACAAGCATCAATTTGTGCACTTTAATGAGAGATAAATGAGATTCAAACAAGCTTGAATACCCTGTAATCGTCGGTTGCTATGTTAAAAATGCAACTTCCGTTAAAAAAAGAGTGCTCGCATTATTAAACGCAACGGTAGAAAATTTATTAAAATTCAAAACATGCAAGCATGACAGTTTTTGATAATTTTAATACCCACCATGACTTGCGGTTCAAACACCTTGCATTGTATCGGATGAGATTGAGGGTATCTACGACAGGAAATATAGCGTAATTTCACTATAATAGTGAGATACCACTATTATAGCGGAATTTACGTTTCCCCCCAACCTGTTTAACAAATCCATCTTTCTACAAAACAAATGATCTATTTCTGGAAATAACTTCTATTATCATATACTGACTAGAATTAACGAATCTCATAATTTAATACAATCATGTATTTGTTTTCAAATTCTCTCTATTACAAACCTTGTTATCACTAATTTATTACTTATTCAAAAACTGATCAATTGTATTCTCAAATGAATACTTATCTTATAAAAACAAGATCTAAGATGGCTTTTCTTTGATGACCTCGTTTTCCACACTGTCAAATCTCTCTCCAACTCTATTTTCTGTGATTTCATATCATCTACAATGGCTAAACATGTCGATGAACCACGCCCTACGCCACTTCGTTCTGCATCTGAAATTTAAACTTTATCGTGCTCTACGTGTCGTCCTAAACTGGTATTTAAACCACTATTCACCTCTTATATAGCCTTGCTAACGAGACCGGTTCTAAAGAACCACGTGATATACACCAGGTATTCGAATGAAAACCTTGTAATTCCGAAAAAGTAATTCATTATCACACCAAGTAGAAATTGATTTCTGTCTAATTCGTTCCTCAAACGAAAGAAATCATATTAAGGTTTCGTCAAAGGTCAACATATCCAAAAAATTATTTTTACAACAACTCCAAAACTATGTGAGGTATAAAGTTAAAACTTTTACAGTTTATAAATTTTTCAATGATTAACAGATAGGAAGTATCACTTGATAAAAAATACTTGGAAACAAGAGGCCCACGGGCCTTATAGGTCACCTGAGTATCATGTAACAACTTTCCAGCGATTGTATCTGGTTCGTGTTTTAATCCAAAAGCCATGAAATTCACAATTTTTTAAAGAGGCACAATTGCATATCAAAGGGCAGATTTCAAAGCATTAATTTATTTTTAGTCAAAGTACCCCCCTGGTACCCCTGACCCAGCGGCCCTGAAATTATGTATTTTGAAAGAGGCCCCTTTCTTCATTATAAGGCCAGCATTTTTTTTTTATGTTTAGGTTTAGTTATGAACATGAAAATAAAAAAGTCCCAAAGGAGAAGGAAATAATTTTTTTTTTGATAAATCAATTATTAACATTTGTACATTCTTTTTTTATGCTATCCTAATAGGCTCCTTACCACTGGACACATAATGCTTGCAAATAGGAAAGTAGAACATTTTATTGCTTTTTCATCACCTGCCAGGTTGGGCCAGTTATATAAATTTTGTGATGTTGATCAAAATATATTTTTAAAAATCAATTCTTTAAAAGTCTTTCAATATATCTTCATTTTCTAAATATGTATTAGGTGAATGTGTAGACATTGTTCTAAAATTTACTTAATCCCTAAAGTTATAATTCCTATCGTAAAACAGACAGGGAGTATTGGGGAGTAGGGTGAACATTTTTTCAACTAGAAAACTGACCAGTCAGCAAGGGCCCCGCTGAGGGATAGAAATATAAAGATGTAGCTCATTGAATGAGAGTTTTACTTGATTACATTTCTTTTTTAAATATATGAAGATTGTAAGTAAAAACTGTATTTTTAAATTTTCAAGATAATTCCTAAATGTCAAAAGAAACCTGTAAATAGTAACCTTGTATTTAAATAAAACAGGGAAAACCTCATGTCTTATTAAAAAAAAAACTAAATAAAATGTGTATTTAAAAAAGATTTAAGCAGGTGTTTTAAAAAATGCAAGACTTCAGTGAATGCAAATATCACCCAAGGTTGACCTCAACTTCAAAACAAACATCAGTTGCAGACTAAAGCTAAAGTGTTCATTAATCTTCATGTGACAGATAAAGATAAGCCTCTAAATTTTCTGCAGCAGGCTAGATAATTAATCCCAAGGGATTAATTGTACTGCTCTCTCATCCTTTTCTTCTAAATTTACCATAAGAACTTTTTTCAGCACTGACAGAATGGGGTTATTATCTGATTACCTGTTAAACTTAACAACATTAAGGCAGCCAAAAAAAAAATAAATAAATAATTAAAGAAATAAAATAGTAATAAAAATAAATGATATCTTAATATATATCTTGATTTTAAAATTCAATAAAATTATCATAAATCGTTGTGTACAGCATTTTAACCAAAATAAAGTATGAGCATTATTTCAAATCGATATTTCAGAGAATGTACACTTCATTTAAAATTGACCTTAACTTCAAAACAAAGTTCATTTGCAGAAAGAGGCGGTAAAATTATTAATCTCATTGTGACAGATAAAGGTAATGCTTAGGATTTTCTTCATGTGGAAGGTTAATTAATCCCAAAGGACAAATATTGCACAGCCTTCCCAGTTTACAATGGTAACATTCTCAGCAGTTATCTCTCTTTGCCCATTCATTCTTTTGCGTAGTTGAGGAATCTACCCCACCACCCCAGTTCCAAACCAGAAGACATAAAGAACCAAACTTAGCATCAAAATATGTATTTATGCCTACTGAATAGGGCTGTGTATTGGTGCCAAGATTTCGATACGATACGATACGATACATTTAAATCCGATATATTGTACCTATTTTTAATTTAGTCTTACTTTCTAGAAAATCCGTAATAAACAAAGACACAACTAATTTTTTTTTACAGTTTATTTCAAAAAATAACAACATGGACCTATTTGAGTCCATGATCCAAGAGAAAAAGAAGCAGAAAATAAAAAAAAGATAACTAGATCAGTATTCATATCATGAATAATTAACAGTCAACATTTTAAAATTTCATATTTTTCTTCAAAAACACCAATTCATTAACACGTTCTGGACTCAAACAGGCTCTCGTTGCAGAAACAATGTCTCCTGTAGTACTAAACACTCTCTCTGAGGCAACAGATGTTGCCTGTACACAAAAGTATGTGCGAGCAAGCCTGGCCAGTTTTGGAAAATAAACTTCATTTTCCTTCCACCATGCTAAGGGGTTTTCTTTCATCGAGGCTGGTTTATGTCCCTTGTATCTTTCTACCTCTTTTCTTGCTAATTCAGCAGGAGTTATGAATTCTTCACTTGTGACTAAAACCTCATCATCCCCAAACAAAGACTCCAAAGCAGTTCTTGGTACTTTTTGTTCACTAGGTTTTGAAATCTGAAAAGGAATAGAGAATGGGATATCTCATGACAATAAGTGTTGAACTTATGAACTATTGATGCTAATAATTTTATATTTTTTTTTTTACAAAACTATCTTATTTTTAGAATCCATTTACATACTATTTTAGATTCTCTACATACATGTTTTTTTTATATTCTTAATAAATGACATTCAAGATTTTTAGAACCAACAATCATTTGTATTAAATCAAACTTTAATTATTAATATTGAATCATAATAAATTGACAATGTATTAGTAATTGAAAATCTGAATTAAATTATTAATCAAATGCTAAAATTATAAATTAAATTAACCTCATTATCTGAATCATCCTCAGTTGAACTACCAGACCTGAGGTGATCTGGAATGGTTGGAAGTGCTGGCAGAGGAATGTGATTTACTTGTGGAATGTTGACTGGTCTCACTGGTCTAGCATCTGCCTTGATTGCATTAACATTTAAGTCCATCACAGACAACTTGTCTTCCAGTCTTTCCCAAGTTTCTGCTTGAATACATGGCTTGCCTTTGGTTCGTGGATCCGAAGCACTGGATTCCTCTAAAAACATTCGCACATTATTGTCAGTATATCGTGTTGCAAGATTCTGTCCAACAGCATTTTTCAATGTTAATATGAAATCAGAATCCCCTTCCTTTCTCTCAAAATGATGCAATAGTTTTCCCAACAGGGGCAAAATCAGTCCAGAGGTAGGAGTCTTCTCCTCACAAAGAACTAATGTAGCTGTTAACATCACATCCATGACAGAGACAAAATCTTCACAAATTTGAACTTCATGATCTGTCATTCCACTTAATGCTTTAGACTTTTTGATCCTTTCATCAAGAAGTGCCGCAAGCACCGCAGGCCTCTGAATTAAAAACCTCTGAATCATATGGTAATTGGAATTCCAGCGGGTCTTGCAATCAATAATAAGTTTGTGTTGGGGTAACTGCAGGGCAATTTGTTTCTCTTTTAAAACCTCAGTGGCAATGTTACTTTTATGAAAATGTGTGACAATTGATCTCACTTTTGCAAGAACTCTTTGCAAAGCTTGAATAGACATTGCTTTATTTGAGACAAGATTTAGAGTGTGGGCTAGGCATCCCAATTTTTGTGCACCTGTAACCTCTATGGCAACCGTCATATTTGAAGCGTTGTCAACAGTCATTACATTAACTTTGTTCTGAATAGCCCAATTAGTCATACAGGTTTTAAGTTCATATCCAACTCTCTCTCCAGTGTGTGATCCATGAAATTTATCTGTTTGTAATATTCTGGAACACATTTCCCAGTCTTTATTCACAAAATGACAAGTTATTGTCAAGTATGATTCTGCAGATCTAGATGTCCAGGCATCTGTTGTGAGGGAGACTGCTTGAGAGCTCTGTAATTCTTGAAAAAGTTTTGCTTTCTCTGTTTCAAATAATGCTGGAATGAGTTGTTCGCTGAGTCTTTGTCGGTTAGGGGGCTGATACCTGGGTTCCATGGCTTTAATCATGTTTCTATATTAAACAAAAAATAAAAAATTATGCAGAGAGAGATTGGTTTGCTTTTAACTGTTTAGGCTGCTTATAAATTCAAGAACAGTTGCATAAAAAACTTACCTAAATACAGGACTTTCAATGGTGTTCAGAGGTCGTAGATCATGTACTATGTATGCTAGAATAGCATTGGTAATTTCATTGGACTTCATGGAAGATAGTTTACTTTTTTCAGCAATGCTCCATGGGTTAACAGTCGAAACTATAAAAATTAATGGATTTTTGAGTGATCATCTTTATGAAATAAAAGCTAGCAAGTTAAAGAACGCTTTTATTTATAACGCTTATGTATACATATCAATAATTTGTCTTACCAAAACGCCCAGAAGAAGATTCTTTATCGCCTCCATCAACGGTTTTGCTAGTGTTAGATGAGGGTTCATCGCCTCCACCGATAGTCTTACTTGTGCTACACGAGGGTTCATTATTATTTTTGTCACGCGGCCGAATTTGATGTTGTAAATTAATTTTATGGTGGCGTAATAGGTGAACACTAAGGTTAGTCGTTCCTCCAGATGCTGCAACCATATCCTTGCAGATATTACAAGTTGCAAAGTTATCATTTTTCTTTTTTGCGAAGTAGTTCCAAACTTTACTTTTCTTCGCCGCCATTGCTAAAGCTAATTTTAGAACACCGATCCCGACGTTTTAAGCTGCATTCCGAACCCAACTCGTATCGAAATACCGGCTGGCTTCTGTATCGGTTATTGCCAGGTAGCAAAATATCGATATATACCGGTATATCGGTATATTGATACAGCCCTAATACTGAACTACCATACCAAATTTGAACTTGATTGGGCAACCATAAAAAAGTTATTAGAAAAAAACAGAAAATTTGTGGACGGAAGAGTGACAGACGGACAGACAGACAGAGTGATTACTATAGGGCACCCGCAAATCCTTGCGGGGCCCTAATTAAGTGTAAAATAATTTTTCTGGCTGATACAAAAGATACTACATGCCTGTATATATTTGTATATTCTTGCCTTTTAATAGTTGATTTTTTTTATTTCTTTAGGTTATTGTTTATTTCTTCCTCAAATGGACTTAACTTCTCCCATAGTTTTATTCATTATATTCATTACATCTGATGCATAAGCAACCCTTTTCTGAAGAATGATGCTTAGACTGTAAGCTATAACAGAGACCTAAACAATGTCGCTGGCAATATGCAATAGCTACCACGGGCAGTTTGAAACCTGGGGGAGGAAAATAATTTACAGACAGTTACTTTTGAAACGAATACATAATTATCTCACCAGCATGATATTGTGCAACAAAGTCGTCAGCATTTTATTTGTCTTTTGAACGGGTGAAACGTTTTGAATGGCACACTTATCGATGAATTTTACACTAAACCAAGCTATCTTCTCAGCTTTATTTACCCGCCGTTTCATCGTAAAACCGGAAGTGCGAGTTCGTAAATTTGAAATCTCGATCCCGACTTAAATTTGACATCGGAAAGAAATTTTTTTAAATTTTTTTTCTGAAAATTCAAAACCTTGAGCGGAGGGTTTGTAAAACTGAAAATAAAATAAATCCTGGCCTTAAATATGTAATTAGATCATTAGCATATTAACCAGGAGCAAAGGATAAAATGTTCAAAGAAATCATGCATTTCACTATATAATCATTAGAGCCCCACCCTAAAACAAGAACCCCTGACCCTGGGGCCATAAAATTCACAATTTTGGTAGAGGCACTCTTGCTCATCATAACTATGTACTTAGTTAGTTTATTTAATACCCAGGAGCAGAGAAGAAGATTTTCAAAGAATTCATGTATTTTCACTATATAATCAATAGAGCCCCGCCCTAACATCAGAACCCCTGACTCTGGGGCCATAAAATTCACAATTTTGGTAGACGCACTCTTGCTCATCATAACTATGTACTTAGTTGGTTTATTTAATACCCAGGAGCAGAGAAGAAAATTTTCAAAGAAATAATGCATTTTCACTACCTACTTATTTAGCCCCGCCCTAGCACTAGAACCCCTGACCCCAGGGCCATGAATTTCACAATTTTGGTAGAGGACTCATTGCTGGTTACAATCATGCAAACAGTTTGACTGCTTGATGTCCAGGAGTAAAAAAGATTTTTAAAGATTGCATTAACTTTAGTGGTTTTGGCCCCATCCCTCAGGCCCCAGGGGGGGCAGGGATCATGAAATTCATAATTTTTGTTCCCCTTCACCAATAGATGCTTTGTGCCAAATTTGGTTGAAATTGGTTCAGTGGTTGCAGAAAAGAAGCTGAAAATGTTCAAATGTTAACGGACAACGCACAACGCACGACGACGGGACGGACAAAAACAGATAGCAATAGGTCACCTGAGTTTACTCAGGTGACCTAAAAATATTTAAATTGAGAAAAAATCTTTTTAAAAATGCTTATTTTTTTCATAAAATGCGCCTAATTGATTCCGTGTATTTAGTGAAAACAATCACTTCAGAAACAAAATATGTTTATCGATGAAGGGCAAGTTGGATTTGGATAGCCTCTGGAAAGTTGTTTTCCTTGTTTATTTTGTCCAAATGTTAAGACTTGAAAGCGAAAGTACATTGCAAATGGCGGGTTCTACAGGGGTCTTGTCTTTATACATGTCATGCTTTCAATAACAGCCTTTCAGAGACCATTCACGTCCAACTTGCCCTTCAATGATAAACATATATTATTTCTGCAATGATGGTTTTCACAAAAAGGGCAGAACTAAGCAGGTGCATTGAGAAAAAATCTTTTTAAAAATGCCTATTTTTTTCATAAAATGCGCCTAATTAATTCCGTGTATTTAGTGAAAACAATCACTTCAGAAACAAAATATGTTTATCGATGAAGGGCAAGTTGGATTTGGATAGCCATTGGAAAGTTGTTTTCCTTGTTTATTTTGTCCAAACGTTAAGACTTGAAAGCGAAAGTACATTGCAAATGGCGGGTTCTACAGGGGTCTTGTCTTTATACATGTCATGCTTTCAATAACAGCCTTTCAGAGACCATTCACGTCCAACTTGCCCTTCAATGATAAACATATATTATTTCTGCAATGATGGTTTTCACAAAAAGGGCAGAACTAAGCAGGTGCATTTCTCTTAAAATATGCACATTTTCTGATACAATTTTTCTCAAAAAATATCTTTTTTAAAATATTTGTTATCAAGTGATACTTTCTATCTATTAATCAATGATATATTTATAAACTGTAAACATTTTGACTTTATACCAAACATAGTTTGGACATGTTGACCTTTGACGAAACCTTAAGTAAGTTATAAGTCTCAAACTGACCATTATGTCAGATATTAGACTTTCAGTCCCCAGACCTCCCTGCTAACTACAGGCGATATATATACATGTACATGTATATAATATGAATAAATATTTAGACAATTTTACTACTAGTACTCATTTTCTACAATTATTTTTTTACTTCTTAGTTAGATTTGAACGACCAAAATCGGGTTGTAACTTTGACTGCTGTTGTACAAGAGGGTGCACACACACACACACCCCCTCACACACACACACACACACACACACACACCCTGACGTGCGCATGTTTCTGAATTTCTTGTATACCATTGCATGGACATATCTATACTTATAAATTAACAAACTTTGCAAATAAACTCTGAAACGGCTGCACTAGAGTTCTTACTTAAGCCTGTAGGAATACGCTAGGTATAAGGTGATGTCCGTAAACTATATTCAGATTTCACTCGCATAGTAATTATCGTAAATTTAATTAAAAGTCTACTTTCATTTTCGGATAACAGCCTCGAAATAGCACTGAAGAGAAAAAAGTGGTGGCGGATCTAAGTAACTGGCATTAAAAAAAAAACTGACAACAAGCAAACGCGTATTTTTTTCATTAAATGTCATTAATGAATTATTCAATCAAAACTTGATTTAAGTGATATAAAAGAAATAAGCTTTGGTCATTGATTAAAAAAACAAAATGTGCAAATCCTTTCCGTTTATGTCCGATCTCGCTATTTGTTGAAAGTTCTAGAAAGTCAGTTTGCATCGAACCCGATGTCTAAAAGAAAATCGAGGCGATCGTTTATCATAAATGGTCATGGAAATAAATGTAAAGAAATTGGCAACACAATGAGTTTGTGAATATTTCTTAGTAAGTTGTGCTAATGATTGATTAATGGCCATGGTTATATGTTTAGACATATAAAATGGTACAATTTGATTTTTAAATAAATTACTTAAATGCTTTAAAAATGTGTTCTTTGACGGATACATTTCAGTTGATTTTCTAAATACAGTCTTTTCTTTTTAAAACTTATTTATACCTCTTAGGCCTGTATGTACATTTGGGATGAAAACTATTTTTTTTCCAAAATTTTTTTTGTAGTTCATGATGTATAACATAGCACAACAGAATAAAGTTGCTTTATAATATGCATGTAAGAAGAGGCCTTTATTGAAATTGATATTTGTAGAAGTAAAAAATAAATCCCAAAATATTAGTAAATGTATTTCTTATAATTATCTACTTCTGTTCTTAAACTAATTGCGGGACTTTGAAGTATTTCGTCATGCTATATTCCTGTGTAATAAACTGTCAATAGAATCTGAAAGATAGTTTTCGGAATAGTTCTTTTAGCAGTAAAAAAAAAATAATAATCGTAAAAATAATAATAATTCGGGATTTTCAATCTTGACGCTGTCGTCCTTCATATATCTTCGCACCTGATCCGTCATTCTTCTTTTCAGTTTGTCGAACGTATAAATGTTATAGAGAACACATACATTTAAAACGAACAATGATATATTTTTCCCTTGGTCCAAAGAACACCAACAGTAAACATGGACGAAAGAAAACAACTTTTTCTGCTGATAGCTTTCATGGTTTGTCAGTACAGACGGAATACTTTGTCTTACCTTACGAAAATAGCCGAGAGAGGTTTTTTCTAATGATTCTGCTAATGTTTCTTCAGAACAAAATTCAGGGGACAGTACCGTTTCCTTACATAGAAAACGAAGAAAGGATTGGGTTCCTCTTTGTCTTAAGTTTGTGCCGACAATATATATCTTCCTCGCCTCTCCTTCCTCCCAGCGACAGTTTCAGGGTAGAGTTCAGAATATTACAGAGTGCACCAGCAAACCCTGCTGTATGGGTCCCAAGGGATACTTACCGAGACCTAAGGCCGAGGTCCTTTGAGCTCTTGATACCGAGTGGTGAGACGATTGATTCATTTTTAGAATTAATGAATTAAGATTTTTTATACGTTGAGTTGCATGGAAACATGAGAAATGGGCAGTTAATGAGTTTAGAAAATAGATCTAGTTTTAATGACTTTAATATGGCTTAGGCATTACCCAACTTATCCATTGCTTTCCCTATGCTTCGGATCAAGTACATCTAGTGTAAGCTACATTTTGAAGAAAACATGGTTTATGCTGTGGGACATATTGGCTTCAGAAATTCGCTGGCCAACAGCAGCAGAATGGTTATCCATGAGAGGTAGCTGGGACAACATGCAAAACGTAGGAGGGTGCCATAGATGAGATTTATATCCCACAAACGGAGCCTCAGCAGGAATTTCATAGTTGACACAGAAAATTTCACTGTATTCATATACAGGTAAGAATTTAAAATCAACTGTCTCCGTTATCAAAAATGAACATTTGTAAATAACAGTTCAAATCTATATGTATATATTTACATCCACTGAACATTTCATCTTTTATTTCTTAAGTAAACTCGTTAATCAGTGCATAAACTACACTAGGCATGTCACCTGTACATATTT